AAAAAAAAAAAAAAAAAAAAAAAAAAAAAAAAAAAAAAAAAAAAAAAAAAAACTACGAGATTGAGAAAGAAAACAGAGCAAAGCAGACTCGGAAGGAGAATGCGAGTTGAAAAGAGATTAGATTTCTCTCATGGATTGCGATTATTGAGCGCAAATCGAGAAAATTAAGAACACTGTGGACTGAGTTCCACACCCAGAAACCCTAAACGTAGAAGGTGAAGACTGAAGAGAGAGAAAGAAGGACGAAGAAGGAGAAGAGGGAGAAAATGGGAAATGGGGATTTTGTTGCGATGCGGCATGCATGCATGACATGCCCACATGCATCATAATCCACTTTCATGACTCATCCATGCATCCTCATCCATTTTAATACTATAATTTTTTTTTTTAAACGATTATTCATCCTTCTAACTAGATATCAATGGCGTGGGACGGGTGAGAGATAAATTCCCCATCTCCGCTCGGTGCCAACTCATTCCCCGTTACAATAAATTCGGGATCGAGTTGGAGAATTTTCATTCATAGATCGTGTAACGACCTTATTTTCTTATTAAATACAACGTTGTCACTGAATGCATGACATGATTATTCCGTGCGAAAATAATTCGTTTAAAATATTTAATAAATGATACTGTGAACTTAATCATTCTTATTAAAATATTTAACCAATATGGCATAAAATAAATAGCGTGAAATTTAAATAACATAAAGAAAAGAAACGAAACAATGTCCTAATCTAACCTAAGGACTAAAAACGACATGAATGCATCTATCTTAACTTCTGTCTTGTTACCACAACGTTGTCATTTGTGCAGGAGTGCCTTACCTTTACCTTAAAAAATAAGAGTAGCATATGGTTTGAGTATTTTAAGAAATACTCAGTAAGTGACCCTGCTATTGGGGTTGAAAAATGCAATCGTGTTTGAGACCTATCTTTCATAGAACACCATGACATGGCGGTATCTACTTCCCGTCCGAGCAGAATTGGATGTGTAGTACTTGTCTACACACGGCCCATGTACGCGCACATGGGCTCCCATGCGGGCTCGTATACGTACCCTTGGACCTAGCCTTCGACTGGCATACACTCACACTGCAGAACGCCGCAGAAGAAAAAGAACATGCATAGTAGTTATGGTGTACATAAATACCATAATATAATATCATAGTGTATACGTCCGTACTAATCATAGCGGGAACGTATCTCGATGCACATGAACATATAAGATGCATGAAGCCCTCATAGTTTAAAAAACCGTGGCACGTATCTATGATGCAAGTTATACCTTTGTTCATTTCATACATAACTTAATCATTTCATGTCAATATGATATTCCATAACATAGTATATCATATAATTACAACATAACATATCGAGCTTCATACCATAACATACTGATCACATCACAACGATAACATAATAAAATAGACATCAAACAATCACAAGGTTCTGCACCCACAAAGGCTACAAGGGCATGCATCGTTCATACTTCAAATAAATCGTCCAACCAAATTAATAGTAAGGAAATCAACCTAGGGTTTTCAAGCCCTAATAATTTAGGCATGTTGATACAATTATTGCATATTGAGTTATTTCTTAAATTATTCCCGTCTCATGTTGCTCTTATTTTGTAGATAAAAATAAAGCATCTCTACACAGATGATGACGTCGTGATGATGGTCATGGGACTGAAACGAGGGAAGATGCATTTGTATTATTTTGTTATGAACGTTTAAATCCATAACATGGTTTATAAACCTAAGTGATCTAGTCATCTACTCAACCCGGGATAAAAATGAGTGAATTTTATTTCATGAAATTATGTTTCCAACGTCCTATTTTGTCAAATCACTAAAATGGTAAGCTTATTGAATCGACCATAAAAGTCACTCTCACATATACAGATCAAAGAATAAGCTTCACGTCCCAAAAATTTATACCTCACTCAGGATTAAAATCGAGTCTCATATGAAGCGAGAACTAAGTAATATGACCATATCATAGCAGAATGTTAAGAGCATACAGAATATCAAACACAGATCTGAAACATAGAGCACTAAAGATGATCAAGGAACGAGATTTTCTATTGTACTTTAAAAATAAAACTTCGAAAAGTTAAACAATGTGAACCGAGCTAAATTAGTACTAAAACAAACGCATACAATACAAGAACCCTAAACCAAGAATCAAGAGAAAGGGTTTGAGTTCAACATGTAGAACAATTCAAAACATAATGAACATGAGTTAGAACATAAACAAACCAACATTAAAATGATATGTAATCAGAAGAGAGTGGAAGAACAGTCCATAGAGAATGGATTGCATATAAGATTATCCAAATAGTAGTGTGGATGAGCAGCATCCATCACCACAAACTGCATGTCCTCCGATGGCTTCCAATGGCGCTTCCTTTGGTTAATGAACCAATTATTGATCTGCTTCAAGTCCAGTCCCGTCGACTCGGCCAACGCTACCTTTTGCGACTCCTGCCATTAGTGTATATAAGCAAGCACCAACAATGGTTAGTATCGGACCATCCATAGCAGTCATATCGATTTTACAATGTCTAATGGCATACCGATGGATATGGCCATTTGTAGTGTCTACTCCACCAGTCAAGCAGCTGCTGCCGAGCTTCTTTAGGCAACTTCCCATTCTTCTTCTTCTTGAGAAACTCTTGCTTTAGGCTACCGAGGTATCCGCTATATTTGCGTAGAAGTTGGCCTTTGAGTTCTTTCTCCTCGGCTTGTGGGTCGATGTAGTTTTCGTTCATATCGACGACCTCGATCTCCTTCGAACACTCGTTTTGCCCGACCAGCTCATAACCTAGCACCAACATTCATGATTTGATAAGCTAGTTACGATCACAATGGTATGATATTATCTACTTTGAACATAAACTCTCATAGATTTGTTTTGAAATTTTCCGAAAGGCCTCGTACCAATAAAAATGTATTCCTTTACTTATAAACCCATAATCATTCCCTAAATTATTCATTGTAGGACTCGCTCCCAACAATCCCGAACAGTCTAGACTTGAAAATTAAGATTCATATCATCTTTCAAACTTAAACTATCGTAAAAAGAACCAATAAATTAAACGTTGGGCCACATCTTGAGGCCTAACTTTCTTCATGGGATGGAATTAATATTCAAAAGATAGAATCATTTAAAGGAGAAATTCATCTCATTTCTCACTTTATAAAGTTGAAACCAAGCTAAAGACATATCTATATTGAGTCAAGAACCGAACTTTCAATGGTGTTATTACTATGTTACGAACAAGAAGTTGTCAAATTCGATGTATAATTCAAAAAAAATGTTCCAAACTGTTCATCGTTATCAGTTTAGCTCCTGAACTTCAATGTGTAACAATTTAGTCTCTGTTGTAAACTAATTAATAAGATTTTTTAACACTTAATTTAGATTAAATTTGTACAAATTCTAAAGTTTTTGAACTAATTTATTTCTTACACTAAAGTTGTAAAAAATAATAAAATATAGGGACTAAAATGTAAGTGCTAAATTAGAACTTTCAACAAAGTTTAGGGATCCTAAAGATTTAAACTTGTAACCCATTAAAATTTTTACGACAGCTTACGCTAACATAACCATGGTTAAGACATGTATTCGTTTAGGTTCGAATCCCAACCCTCTAACCATGGTTAAAAAACATTTCCTTTACCATTCAAAGTAAGGAGATGAAGCAAACCCAACCTTAAAAGCTTGGATCCTATTCAGACATAAACAGATTTAGCATTAACCTAGAAATGCATGTTTGGTTTTTCAAGTCTTTAGAGCAACCTTCTACACTCACACGACCAATTACTTCAAAGGATAACCTTAAAATGGTTGCAATAAAAAAACATCATATTTATATACAATTAATGTTAACAAAAAAAAAACCCAGCTGACCAGTACTCATTTCTGAGCTGATTTGATGTGCAATTAAACCATGAACTAAAAAACTCAAAACTTTCTCTGGACTATCCTTTTTCGAGCTTTATCTCAAAAATTTTAAACGCGTCTGATAAGAAAAGGTTTCTACACTCTAATAAGGAGTGTTTCATTCTTTTTTCCACTTACGTGAGATCTCACATTAATCATAATAATCTAACAAAAGGCTCTCGGGCTTCCCCTCGAAGTTTTCAAAACCCGTCTGATAGTTAGAGGTTTGTTTTTGAACTTTTACTTTCAAACTTTCCCTTGAGATTTTTAAATCTCGTCTGATAGAAAGAGGTTTCCACACCCTTAAAAACAGTGTTTCGTTCTCCTCCAAACCGACACAAGATCTCACATGGATCATAATAATCTAACAAAAGGCTCCTGAACTTTTCCTCGAAGTTTTTAAAACGCGTCTGATAGGAAAAAGGTTTCTCTTTGAACTTTCCCCTTCAAGCTTCCCCTCGAGATTTTTAAAACGCATCTGATAGGAAGAGATTTCCACACTCTTATAATGAGTGTTTCGTTCTCCTCCCACCGACGTGAAATCTCACATTAATCATAATAATCTAACAAAAGACTTTCCGACCTTCCCCTCCAGGTTTTTAAAAGTATCTAATAGAAAGAGGTTTCTGTTTGAACTTTTCCTTTCGGGCTTTCCCTTCAAGTCTAGGTTTCCACACCCTTTCGGATTTTTCCTTCAAGTCTAGGTTTCCACCCCTTATAAAGGACGTTTCGTTTCATACCCAATTGATGTAAGATCTCGCATTAATCACTAACAATCAAACAAAACAAAGAACATAAATAAAAACATGATTAGAATAGAGAGAGAGAGAGTAACCATCCGAAGAAGAAGAGGAAGCAGCTAGGGCTTTAAGCTGAGACTCAATCCTCGAAAAGAACACCATAGCTTCTTTAAAAGGCTTAGTAAGCTCTTGTTCATATTTACTCAACATCTCACAATAAGCCTCCATGAACTGATCCAACCCCGGATCATCCCCACGTGCCACCGTCCTACAATTCCCAGCAGCCACCGTACAAGCCTGTTCTAACCTCGCCACCACATCCGGCGGCGCACCCACCTGAAAAAACCCAACAAAAAAAAAAAACCCCACATGAAATCATGAACAACAACAAAACACAATCCAAACCACAATCCCACCTTCTGACAATTCACATAGGAAGCCAATAGACGAGGAAACAACGGATGAGCCATAAGTTTATCTCTACAACTTTGAACATGATCATTGTAAGGCAAAAACATCTTCTTGTTGTTGCTATCGCTGTCGTTGTTGTTGTCGTTGTTATGATCGAAC